ATTCCTTAATAGTTTGAAACATTTTTTCGCATAACGTTATAGTTTGCATTTTACAATTTTTTTACACATTTTTACGACAGAACACATGCTTTACATTCCTTAAAAGTTTACAGAACAGGTTTTTTAAATTGATCACAGATATTCTTTACACTCAACTTAACCCTACATTAGCGCCCTCTATTTAAAGTGTGCAGAACACACTACTTAACATCACTTAGTTTGGCAATGCTTCTCCACTCCCCAAAAACCAATATAGTTGGTAAGTTAAATTAAAATTTACTACTTACTTGCCTTTTTAGTATTATTTAAGTAATTTATTATTTTTTATAGAATGTCCAGTTTCTTTTTTGATTTATATGCATAATTCGTGTCGGGGAAGTTTCTGCTGGCAAGAGTTTCTAAATTACTTTGTTTTTCTGAAAATTTGGTTTGCTACTCTCATTTATTATTTTTTAATTTTAATTCTGGTCTTTTAATTGCTAATTTCTCAAAATTCCACTTGCTAAAATTTCTTTTTAGTAATTTACCACCTTTGGTATTACTTTTGGTTTTGACTTTTACCTTTGTCTACATGGATGACGAAACAAGAATTGAATGATTGAAGAGATATTTTAGGAGGCAACTTCCCCTTGATAAGTCTGTCTCTTGCCTCTCAACAATCATTCACTTATGCATTTTTATAAATACATTTTTAGGATTAAATAATTTTTGGAATTTAATATTTATTAATGGAATTTGATACTTGCACTTGATTTACATATGCTCTCAGAAGTTAAATGATATTGCAGACTAGTTCGCAACAATAATTAATAATTTATTTATTTGCATTAAATTTCATTTAAATTTATTAACTTTAATTTGCTTTTTACGAATAGAGAATGTTTGTTACATTTGTGAAACTTTGGAAAACTTATTTTAAGCAGTCGGTAAGATTTACATGAGATTAATTTATAGGCTTTGTCGAGTAGAACTTTAGTTTCATTTAAAGGAAGGATAAATACCTTTCTCGCTGAATTTAATCAACCTGAATGATTGCAAGATTACGATAAACATAATTAGCACTTTTGCTTTATACATATATACTAAAACATTATATTACTTACCTCATAGGATAACAGCACTAAAATATAAAATTTCTGCTCCTAAGGAAAATTCAATTGAAATAATTTATTGCGGATTTTAGTTAATAACAAAATGAGTGCTCATTTATTTATTTTCATCTTTCGATAAGATAACAATCTAATTTAATTAAATCTGCAATAAATATTTCTCAGTTTGATTTACTACGTAATTTAGGGATAATTTGCAGCAATATATTCGTATACAATGAGTCTGGGTCACTTCACGTAGATGTATATGGAATTTCCATTTGTATATCCCTTTGTCATGCATTTAAAACATTCTATATTCTTCTATTGCAGAAGGAAGATCTACTAGTAAGGAAACTGTAACATGTTTCAAAGCGCTAGTAGTACCTTTAAGAGTGAGCTGAAGACGTTGCAACTTCGATCTTAAAAACAGAGCAAAAAGTTTTAATTTCAGAACTTTTCTTACTTCTTTCAACTTTTCTTTCATTATTCTCTTTTCTGGAAACTTTCTTCTTCTTAGTTCTTTTTAATTCAAAAAAATTCCAAAGCGTTTTCTTATACGAAAAGGCACACGGTTTGTTCATAGCATGTATACAGACTGTTAAAATGCCACAGCAGACTATAATTATACTAACAAATACCTCGGTTATTTTCAAGTATTTGAAGAAAATAATAAGAAATATATGGGAAAAAGTAATTATTAGTTTAATCAGCCCAATTTTAATGTACTAAAAATTATACTTTTTCAAAAACGTTGCGTATGAATTACCTGACTGTTTCTTTGGCTGAGACAAAATACACGCGGAATGACCGCCCAAGAAAATTAATGCCCCTATGCAGGATTTCCTACCGCAATAATTCGCATGCGTGATGTTTTAAGAAAACCACTGTACCGGCATTCTTTCCTTGGAATGCGACCCCGAGTTGAGGTAGCAACAGTCAGTGATCGTATCTATTCAGTCATTAACAAGTTCGTTACTTCATTAAATATTTCTTTAAAAGGATACAAAACGGGTTCACGAAACATGATAATATTCTAGTTTCATTTTTCCTTTATTGCTTCTAAGTAGCAAAGGCAAAAATGCGCCAAAAAAGAATACATATTATTCTTTCACTTCTGATACATAAGGGTATGTCCAAAAAAATGCATACCTGTAGTGGAGTGCGAGTTTTTAAAATCCCGCATTTCTTAGCATTTACTTCGGAAATATTTTTAAATTGGATAACATGTTTGCATAGTCAGCGGCTCTCGTTAACTTCTTTTTCCATCGTCTTCGCTTATATTATGTGATGATTTCATGTCTTTCCATACTGAATAAAAACTGTTCTGAAACTTCGTAACTGGTCATTAAGAAGAGTCGAGATACTGGTAGGCAAGAACGCTCTTTTTAGGCAATGACTTCGATCTTTTTTTCTTTAGTTCTATTGTTTGTAACCTGTGTTTATAAGATTTTAGTTCTTTGTAACTTTTTACCTAGCCATTGAGGGGGGAAAACTTCATAACTGAAATTTTCGCTTGTAACATTTTACTACAGATGTAACAATTCTAACTTTGTCAACTGATACTTAAAGCTATTGAAAACATTTTGAATCTTTAATGCGTAATCGTTTCCTTTCTAATAAAATCTGTATCCTCAGATTTACAAAACTTCATTCGAAAGTTAAAAGGATGCATATGGTTTTAAACAAGAATATTTGCATGCAATATTTCCTTTAGCTGACAGAAAGTAAAACCGAGCATATTTATTTAAGACAAAATAAGAATTTGCTAATATCTTCCAACAAAAACTATTTCTAAAAGGAAACACTAAAAAATTTTTTTAAAAATATATTAAATTAGTAAGTTATACTACCGTAGAATATTATCTATCTCAAAATACTCAGAAGAATGAATTATACATAATTATCCAAAAGTAAAAATCTGCATGTTTTTAATATATATATAAAATAATAGTAGTAGGTAGAAAACTTTGCAGCGATCTTGCTAAAAAGTTACCAGGAGCTGTAGCTCCACGAAATATTTCAACGGTGTATTACTAAAATATGAACTAAGAAGTAATTTTTTGTCTGGAAAAACTGGAACAAACTGTAAACACGCGAAAAAACTGCCTAAAATAAATGTTGGAAGACAGGCTAATGCACGAAAAAATTAATCTGACCGTTGTGATATGTGAAAAGTAAACATACATAAAAAATAGATTGACGGAAAAAATATATAAATATATGAAAAGTTAATACATATCAAAAAAATAGATGGACTGAAAAAATGCCAATACATAATATGCAAAAATTATAATGAAAACATAAATTGCAAAAATACAAAAATACAATAATTACATAGCGGAAAATGGTAAATTAACCCACTCGTACCCTCAACAGGCTTTTCAAGGGAAAAATGACTGAGTGTTGAACTAAATACCATTACGCGTTTCGCCGAAACAGACCATTGAAGCTCTTGTTTAATGCGAAACATTTTTTTTTTTATAAAAAACATGAATATTCCCGAATAAATCTTTTTTGGAGCTTCACTGCTCTGTTCCTTTTTCCCGACGCGTCCGCTGAAAAACACATTAGGGTGTTAAAAAGTAATTGCATTTCCGAGCAATGTAAAATTAAAATCAAAATAAAATTAATAGCGGTCTGCTATTAGTCAAAATTACAACAACGTACGGGCTGGTCCTGTATAGCTTAAAGAAGATAGAGTAACTTTTTAGCAAGATCGCTGCAATGTTTCCACCTATTACTATTATTTCATATCTTTTTGCAGCATTATGTGCAAAAATTTTTTAGACCAAATAGGTCCTACGTCTAATTACTTGTTAGCTTTACAATTTCTTTTTCAATTATATATATATGCATATATGTTATGAGAAAAATAGAAAAAGACATAACAATCTTGACAGCATATACGTCTATATAACGTGGATCCATGTTGAAGAGAAAGAATTACGATTGCACATTATGCTAAAATGTTGAATCCATAATGACTAGAAAACTTGGCAGCCGAGAAAGATTAAATATTCATTTTTATTTCAGTTGGCATTTGTAGCCACGATATGCTTGGCACCACGATATCATGCGTGTTCGTTCGAGAATATTTACATTTTTGATACTGACTGTTATAACAGGAAGGAAGAGAGCACAGCAAAATAGCGTCTAAGCGGCAGCAGACGGTAGAAGCTGAAGTTCGTAATTATCCAATATGGAAGCTCATCAAGAGAAGGTTTTTTGGTTGAGTTAGGAAGGTTTCAGTTTTCAAAATTTTGAGTTCAGGTTTAGAATTAACTAAGTCATTAAATTGTAATAAAAAGAGAAAAATACGCAGTAATACTGATGGCGTAATACGTAGAATTCATAGAACATAGATCCGTATTGAAGAGAAATAATTATGATTGCGTAGAATGCTAAAATGTGAAATCCGTAATGACGAAGAAACTTGGCTGTCGGGGCGGATCAAATTCCAATTTTATTTAAATTGACATTTGTGGTCACAGTTCACTTGGCACTCTAATCGTGCCTTATTTCCAGAAAATTTACATAGATACTGCCGGGAGAGAAAGAGAGCACAGCGAAATAGCGTCCAAGCGGCACAGAGGGGAAGTTAAAGTGCGCAGTTATCCAATATGGAAGTTCATTAAGATAAGCTTTTAGTTTAGATTAGATTGGTTCTTGAAATTTTGAGTTCAAGTTTCGAATTAGCTACGTCACCTGCGTTACGCAAGCTATGTAATATAAATTAATCTAGAAATGGCTCAGTCTGGAAAAGTTATTACTACTCTTAGAATCGAGAGAGGAAATACCCAAATTAAAAATGAGAAATTAAGAGACTATGAAATTATAAAGCTGATTTATATATTTTTTATCTGGCATGTATATATGTGTGTGTATGATTTAATTATTTTTTCTTCCTAGGAATTCTTGAAAAAATATCTCAGACCAGCTTGCTAAGTGCTAAAAATATTTGTTTGAAAACTCAAAAAGTGAGAATCAGTATGACTTGCACCTTTTATGAAATAGTGAGTAATTTATTTATAAGAAAGAGTATGTATTTTTTATTGCTATTTCCTCAGGAATATCTAAGCGAACTAAATTTCATGATCGGCTTCAAAAGTTTATTATGAAATTTAAACTTTCAAAATAACGTAGAGAAAAATTCTCATTTTTTAAAAAGACAGGATGATCAGATTAAGAGGAAATAAACTCCAAAATAAATTCTGTTTGAAGATTCTTTACACTTTAAATTATTTATTTTTAAATGTCAAGACATTTTAGCTAAATAATTTTTTTCTATGTTAAAACTGTAAAAAAATATTTCAAGCAATTTCAATAATTCTCCAGACAAAGAAAGTGTATATTTGCATATATTAAGTCCTTGCAGAGATTCGAATCAAGTTGAACTGTGGTTTAAAATTTTTCTCTTTAGCGTAAACTAGTAGACAACTTAAAGGCGTACATCAAAACTTTTGTGAAATCTAATGTAAATATATTTTTTTTTTCCCATTGCCAAAACTTTCCATTGATAATATTTTGTTTCTTAGATGCTAAACGACCAGTATTATCTTTTTCGACTTTCATTTTCATTTTTCCTTTTTTTTCTTCTTATATATCATTTTGTACATAATTTTGTAATTTTTTGTATTCAGTTTTGCTTCTTGCTTACAGTAAAATATAATAAATATATCTTGATTGTGTGAATAGTGAATTACTAGTTTCCCGATACTGAACCAAGTAACTCATTTCTGGTTTTGATTGTCATGAAGTTGAATTAACTGTATAGGATATTTTGTCTTGGCGCTCATAATTAGTATGCATTTTAGATTATTTCAGTTGTGAGCTGAGTAGTCAATCATTAGTACAATTTAAAACAATAATCATACAGAAACGGACCCAGCCTCAGTAAAATATTCATTTATAATGTCTCTAAATATAATGTATAAAATTTTAAATACACAGTCAAATCATTTTATGTATAGTATAAAATAATATACACTTTTAGAGGTCAATATTGAATAAAGTTTCAACTCTTGAATAACATAGTAAGGTTTTTTTTTTTTTTTTTTTTTTTTCTTTTTTTTTTTTTTACCGTGATTTAACTCAAAGCTAAAAGGCTTCTAAACTGTTTTCGTATTGTCGTAGAAATATGAATTCGAAGATTGCTTTTCAGTTTTGATAATTAGTAGTCCAATACTGATACTTGTTCTTTTAAAGCATAATCACTTTATTTGAGATATGTTATCAGTTGCTGATAACAGAAATTGGTCGCTGACTTCAGAATTTGTTATTAAAGTGCAAAAATTTCCGCATGGTAGTTTAAAATCAGTAAATAATATACAAACATTTAAATTCATTTTAAACCACCTCTTGCACCATAAAATCCACCACATCTTGCACCATAAAATCTAAAGCTTCTTGTCGCTGCAATATTAAATATGTTTTACACAATTATCAAACCTTATTCTACATATTTCCAAATCATAACGGGATAAAAAAGATGCAGATTAAGAACTATTTGAAGCATTGCAAAATTTTCTCAAGACGTATATTATTTTCTTCTTTTTTTTTTTTTTTTTTTTTTTTTTTTTTTTTTTTTTTTTTTTTTTTCAGGATCGTCCACTTCCAAAACTTGTGATTGGTCAGTGGCAAAGGTAAATTTCTATACTTTTTCTGTCTTCCATTTCGGTAAAATGAATTAACAACTGACGAAAAGGACTTTTTCAATTAAATTATATTGTTATTATGCTTTGTCTGAGTATTTGCAGTAGTGTTTTCTTTGAAACCTCCATTAGTTTCTTGGAATTTAAAATATTTCTTAGAACTGTTGACCTATTGCAAAAAAGAAAAAATACTACAAGAAATTTATATACCGTCCATATTAATCACATCCACTCAATTACGAAAATTAAATCCATGGTAAAAAGAAAAATGATAGACATAGATAAAAATGGGAGGGAAAAAAGTTTTAAAGCACTTAGAGCACTTTCATATACGAGACGCAGACTGAATAACCGAAGTAAAAGAAAACAATTCTTTGATTCCTCTCTTGCAGCTTTGTCGGAATTCAAATGTCGTTTCAGATAGCTTACTATAGTACAAATTATAGTTTTCCTCATAAAACTTTATGATTTCTTTTCACTGTGACTGGAAATCGAAATAGTCTTCCATTTCCATTAACTTCAGACTATTATTTTTTTTCATTCCCAGATAAAACTTAGGATTGTTTTTAACTTGGTGGGTGACTGGGCGGCAGGTAGCGCATCTGACTCCGCAATAATGATTGCCTTATTTGTGAGGTTGAGTAATACTTAGTGTATTTTTGAACTCGAAGCATATTTATTATAATTACGAGAAGCTCTTTACAAATATATCTAATCCATGGATAGCATAGAACAGTTATTGAAGTGAATTATAATTTTCGTGACAAGAGGATCTTGATAACGAGGGTCTCTTTAGCCGAGAGTTCAAGAGAATTCTAGGTTTCTCTAGTCGAGAGTTCAGGAGCATTCTAAGGTCGTTCTCCGATGGAAAAAAATCTTCAGACTGATTTAGCCACACCTCCTTAATTTTACAATAGTAATTTACATCCTCTGATTGGTTATACCTGGAACGATATCAGAGGAAAACCAAGATCATTGGGATTCCGAGTATGGACGCGGACGAGGACGGTCGCTCGCTGACACAACCTTCATCCATGGAATTTTGTGATTCTTCGCAAACAAATGCTTTACCTTTGGATACTCCGAACGTGCAATCGTGTACAGAGAGAAATCCATCTAATGATAATACCCAAGAATAATCTTATTACTGAATTTTACGGATTCAAAACTCAGTTTGAAGCCATTCAACAGCAGAAAATGTTTCTAAAACGAACTGGAGCCCCCCCGCCCTGGATACTTCTGGATACCAACAACTAGACCTAGCGGGTAAGACACTGTTTAATAAGATCAACGACATTGCAAACCGACTTAATGTACAGATATTTCCAACTCCCTGCCACCTTACAAGAATTTCAGCAATTATTAGAAAACGAGAAAATTGCCAAAATGGCCGCCGAAAAAGAAGCTCTTCTCCGTAAGGAGAAACTCAAAGACAACTTGAAACCTCTTTCTCGCATACATAGTGTAAAGAAGCAAGCGGATAGACCAGTTTCGACTCCTTCGGTTCAGGATACCATTACTGCCTCCAGCAGAAAAAGAAAGACTGCGAGCGTAGATTCGGAGGGCTTTATTACCCCCGCATCACGCAAACAGGAAAAAACTCCAGAAATCATTACAATTGATGATAGTAACCCTACTGATGTAATTACAAACTCAAAAAATATTGCCTCTAAAAACAAATATGAGAGAATTAAAGAAAGCCTCTTGGACAGCGGTCGCAGTCCCGCCAAGGGAAGCTCTACGATCACCCCCCTGCTAACGGGGGAACTTCAGGAGGAGAAACTAGTACGGCGCAGTCACAGAGCGCTCCCCCCCCTCCCACAGCAACCCTCCATTCCGGCTATTCACGTTAAGAGCAGCAAACAGTGGAGAACGCAGATGACTTTCCTGCGAGAAATTGCCCCTAATATCAAGTGCATTCTCACTGGACCTTTTTTAAAATTATTTGTTCAAACAGAACTAGAATTTAGGGAGGTTACACGATGGATGCGGCAGGCCGGCATCCAATTCAAGACTTTTGATCTAAAGCAGGACAGGCCTATCAAAATTGTTATCAGAGGCCTCCCTAAAGAAACTGAAATCGAGGACGTCAAAAATGAAGTGGAATCATGGGGTTTCCAAGTGCATAGGTGCGCCCGGTTGACTAAACCGCGCACTAGACACCCTATGCCACTTGTTTACATACAAGTCCGACCTCATCCCTTCATAGACCAACTGTACAGTGTCACCGATATGTGGGGCGCTGAGGTCAAATTTGAGGCTTACAGAGGCCGTAAAGGCCCTACTCAATGCTTTAGGTGCCAAGGATTTTTTCATTCCTCTGAAACTTGCACCACCCTTAACATCCGTTGTGTGAGATGCGCTGGCCCGCACTGGGCAAAAGATTGCACATTAAGTGACGATCAACCTGCTTGCTGCTGCAACTGTGGAGGTAGTCACCCAGCGTCCTTTAAATCTTGTCCTCGTTACCCAAGTAATAACAAAAAGAGCTCAAAAAAGAATGCTCCTAGGGCAGCTGCTCCTGCAGCCCCCCCAGGGAACTACAAACACCCCAGCAAAAGCTGTACAACCAGCCACTGTGACTGCACCTAAAAGCACAAGCTCGCTGTCTTATGCAGCGACCCTAGGTAAAGGACCTACAGAGCCCCGACCCAAAAATCAGGGTCCAAATCCGGCGGCTATGGCGAATGTGCCTCAAATAGCTCCCCCGGTTACTCAAGTAGAAAGTGGAGACTCCGAGGATGTTTTCTCCTCTACTTTAAAATGCCTAATTGAAATCTCCCGCGATCCTGCGGTAGATAGGCATATTCTACTACAAGCCTTCCAAAGGGTCTCTGCCAAAGCTTAGGCAGGCAGACGCTCTTACGAGGGCCTTCCTAATTTATGAAAGCTATATTATGCTTTCAAATTAGGATTTCTCGGCTATTTTAGACCCGTGTCTTAAGTTTTTCAGAGCTGTAACCTTTTACAACGGCCTTAAATTCAACTGTTTAAGACAAAGTTCAATTACCAACAGAGAACTTACCATGTGCACATGGAATGCAAACGGCCTCATCAATAAGATCGATGAGGTCAAAGATTTTATTGTAGAGCACGATCTTGACGTGTTATTAGTCCAAGAGACTCATCTTACCCCAGGGAGAACTCCCAAAATTGGGAATTATGACATGTACTCGACTGACAGGGTGTCATTAGCCAGGCGTGCAAGTGGTGGTGGCACCTGTATCTACGTGAAGCGTTCGATTAAGCATCACATGATACCCCCTCCTGATTTAAGTATTTTGGAAGCGACAATTATCAAAATTTTTCTCCAAAATTCTCCCTCACTAACAGTCATCTCGGCGTACCTGCCTCCACTATCAACTATCACTAGCACGTGGAAGAGGTACTTTTCCTGTCAGTGATTTTGATAAACTTTTATCATTATCAAATCACCTAATTATTGCTGGTGACCTAAATTCACGTCATACCGCATGGTTTTGCCCTAACAGGAACAGGTATGGCATTAGTCTAAATTCATGGTGCCAGAGAAACCATATACAGATCATAGCTCCTACCCTCCCGACTTACTACCCTGTTAGAGGGTCCCCTGCAGTTCTTGATCTGGCTGCCTTTTATAATGTCAATTTTAGGCACGAAATAAAAGTGATTCAAGACCTTGACTCTGATCACTATCCAGTTTTGATCACCCTAGATATCCAAAATCGTTACTCAAAATTACAGGAGCAAGTCTCTACAAATTGGGACGACTTTAGATTTATCTTGGAACGTACTGCTACCCCCTATCAAAATTACCAGCAATTCGGATTTTGACAGGTGTTTACTAAATTTGGAGTCCATTCTCAAAGAAGCGAGAGCTGCGGCTTCAAAACCAATTTTCTATCCGGGTGTCAGACTCCCACCTGAGACTAAATCCAAAATTAAGCAGCGGAACTTTTTGCGAAAACTTTGGCAAAGGTCGCGTGATCCCAGTATCCGCGCCCAATTTCGCAAAATACAGAACGAGATAAGGACTGAAACCCGTCTCTTCAAACAGACGGAGTGGAAACACTACATTGAGCCCTTAACGACTGAAGACAATTCGATTTGGCGGGCTGCCGCTCGAATACGCAAACAATCCAGACACATTCCGCCGCTTCAAACGGCCGATGACGCACGGATGGCTTACACAGACACTGAAAAGGCAGAAGTCTTAGCCGACAGCCTTGCTACTCAATTCACTCCTAATAACGACGCCTACTGTAACCGCCCGGTTACTCAAGGGCGCATACATTCACGTGTTGAAGAGTTTTTAACACAACCTTTCACGCCTGAACTTAGGCCCACTGATCCTAAAGAGGTGATGGAATACATCAATAGACTGAAACCCAACAAGGCTCCAGGCATGGATTCTATCTCTAATCGCATGATTAAAAATTTCCCTGTAATGTTTATTGTTTGGATTACGGTCCTTATTAATTTTATGCTAAGGAGAAGCTACTTCCCCGACCGCTGGAAAATTGCAACGGTCGTCCCCATTCCAAAACCGGGGCAAAATCTAAACTTACCCGTCAACTACAGACCAATTAGTCTGCTTTCCTCACTCTCAAAAGTATATGAATATGTCTTACTTAATCGCCTGAATGAATTCTGTCGAGATCAAAACTTAATCATCCCGGAACAATTCGGCTTCCGACCTAAACACTCCACGGTACACCAGTTACTACGTGTAGTGGAATTCATTCATGAAGGCTTTCGTAAGCGAGAGAATACTGGAATTGTCTATCTTGACATAGCTAAAAGCCTTTGACAGGGTTTGGCATGACGGACTTATTTACAAGCTCATGTGACTTGGGTTTCCGGCTCACATCATTAAAATTATTAGCTCGTACTTACGCTACGAGTTAACCACGAACTCTCCTATCCCCGCCCGATCCATGCTGGATGTCCTCAGGGCAGTCTTGTCTCACCTCTGCTCTTCAATATCTATATCAACGACGTGCCTAAGGCACCTAGTATCGATTTAGCTTTATATGCAGACGATACGGCCATCCTAACTCAACATACCAACATCACCACGGTAATCTCTACATTACAGAGTTACCTTTCAGCCTTAGAACTCTGGCTCGGACTGTATAAAATCAAAATAAAATCAAAATTAATGTCGCTAAATTTGATGCCACTTTATTCATCCGAAGAAACATCCCTCGTTTAGATAATCTAATTTTCTTCGGTGAACCTATTCCCTGGGTTACTGCTTACAAATACCTTGGTGTTTTACTACTAGACTCAAAATTAACTTGGCAACTTCACATTCAAAAAATTATTGCGAATGCGGAAGCTGTCAAAGCCAACCTGCGCCCCTTTTTCGCTAAAAATAGCGACCTGTCACTTGATAACAAGATCTTGCTTTATAAATCTATCATAAGGCCTATTCTCACTTACGCGAGTCCCATCTGGGGCTC